TTAAAAATAAACACCTGCCCCAAGTTTCTGCATGATGTGATTTGACACAGGTGAAAGAGATTTATGACAAACACTGACAGATTCTTAACTCTACTGTTGCTGCTGAGACACTATGACATCTAATAAGCACCTTACATTTCAAGCTCTTCAAGTCCTTGGCAAGCAACTGAGTGAACACAATAAAAGCCTCACTGTTAAGTTCTCTAGGGCTCTCACTGAGCTCTTTGCAGAGGAAGATACACAGTCCAAGTCAGTTGACTGGAACAATGAGGGTTTCTGTTTCCTTCTATAACATGTCACAGGAATATAATAATGCCCTGTTCCAATTATGTATTAACCGCTAATGCTGAGGACCTGTATGAGAAAACCATGCTGCACAGACTTGAAATGAAGTGAGTAGAGACCAGCTGAGATTCCTATTTGGATTTCATAAAGCTTTTAAATTCATGTGTTCATGACAATTATAAGTAATTATATCTATTGTGTGTCATGTTTTACATTAATTTCCATAAGAAATGCATAAATTGCTTCCTTATTAAACTTCAGCGCTGCCAGAGATGATGTGTAAATATTTATGTATTTGTGTAGTGACATTGCAGAGGGGGCTGGACTAGATGATCTTTAAAGGTCCCTTCCAACCCAAACCATTCTGTGACTATGACTTTCAAACAAAAGCGTGCTACTGTTCTTATGTTTCTATCATCTCTACATATCAGGGTGGGATCTTATCAGAGAGGTGAGTACTTATAGGAAAAAGAAGATGCATGAACTAAAAGCAATAAATTCTATTACATTTACAGACTTGTGTTCACAGCTGTAATATGGTACGATTAAGGTCCAGCAACAGGGTTACTATGCAGCAAACCATGTCATACATCTGGTTTAGTATTAAATTTAGTCTGAAAGCAATTTTCATTACAGCTGAAAACAAAGCAAGGCAGTCAGCTTTACCTTGGCTAGATTTAAACATGCTTTGCTGTTTGCCAGTCGGCTTCCCTGGGGTGGCAGTCAGGACAGGATTGAATAATTTCTCCTCCATTTTTGCCTCCTTTACATATTGACATGATTTCCCCAGCAATACAATACTGTTAAGAACTTTTAGAGATATTAACCTGAAAAAATAAAAGGATTTGTTTACATATTTGCATTAGCATATTAAAATAATTCCATATGGTTACTGTTGTCTTGGAAGGATTAGCTAACAAATTAAATCCTTTAATAGCAAGATCAAAAGGTAATATCCATTTCCTAACAATTTGTTTCAGATTCAATGCTTTTTTTTTTTTTATAAGTTATCTAGAGAAACCATCAAGTTCTATCATAGTTTAACAAAAGGTCTACAAAGCCTAAAAGCAGCCATTTAATACATCAAATATTTAAACGCAGAACTAAAAATGGCCCTCAACAGTGCAAGTCCAAATCAAATGCTCTACTGTCATGGTTTAACCCCAGCCAGCAACTAAGCACCACCCAGCTGTCCGCTCACTCTCCCCTGTTGGGATGGATGAGAGAATTGGAAGAGTAGAAGTGAGAAGACTTGTGGGTTGAGATAAGAACAGCTTAATAACTGAAATAAAATACTACAGTGTAATAATAATGGTTATGATGCTGAAAAGGAAAATAATAAAAAGAGAGAAATAAAACCCCAGGAAAGACAAGTGATGCCAATGCAGAACAATTGCTCACCACCAACCAACCGATGCCCAGCCTGACCCCAAGCAGTGCGTCCCCGCCAGTCAGGTTTCCCCTAGTTTATACACTGAACATGATGTCTTATGGTATGGAATATCCCTTTGGCCAGTTGGGGTCAGCTGTCCTGGCTATGTCCCCTTCCCAGCTTCTTGTGCATCTCCGGCCTTCTCAATCGGTAGAGCATGAGAAGCTGAAAAGTCCTTGACTGGTGTAAGCACTGCTTACCAAGAACTATAACAGCAGGGTGTTATCAACATTCTTCTCACACTAAATCCAAAAGACAGCGCTATGCCAGCTACTAGGAATAAAATTAACTCTATCCCAGCTGAAGCCAGAACAACTACTGTTAAAACTAGCCTTAAGTGGGCCCAGCCAAGGACCACTTCAAACTTCAAACCACCAGAAAGCAGATACCTAGCTTTCACAAATTACAGGCTAACGATAAAAAGTCCTTTTTCACATCACAAAAGACAGCCCATAAAATTCAACAAATCCAAAGAGGCAGCACTGCATTACCGTCATAGAAAGGGAACCTGCCATCAATTGGACTGTGCTATTACTATAATTTGCAGCACAAGCTTCAGCAGATCACTGAAGTCCCTTTTATATGCGTCTTCTCATTTGAAGAACAGGAAGGTCTCATCTACCATCAAGTGCTTTTAGATTTACAACTCAAACGAGCTTTGTAAAATCTAAGTTCCATTACTAGTATTACACAACACAGACACCAATGCCTAGTCCAGAGGTGAAAGCAGAGGTGAAGCACATGAAGGCTCACTACCAAACAACAAGAAAACAATAATCTATTCTCTGTAGGATGAATATAACTATTCTCTATGCAAATCAACCTATGTAACAAAAGTGAACCAAATGCAGACTCCAAATTCATTCTCCACTCTCTGAAAATCTTATTATGTACATCACCAACAGACTAAAAAGGAGACTTGAAGTGAACATTCACAGATCCATGGAGCAGGTCTAACCGCTTAATCACAGAGATCCAAGCACACTTCAGCAGCAGCTTCTCTTATTGCATTAATGTAATCAGAACTTCTCAAACAGAAAAACAAAGTACACTGCACTTTTAAGGGAATTTTATGCAATACATTTACTTGTAGAAGAAATTCAGAGGAATGGAAGAATGAGCAGAGCAGGCCACTTTCAGTGCTCAGAAAAAACTGACATTTTAGTATCCAAGCAACCACAAATAAGATATTTTATACAAGTTGGAAGTCATGATTCTCTACAATTTTATTAGGTTATTGGGACAGATTTTGTTTTCTGTGAGTTGAGAAGCTCTCCTCCACTTCTACTAAGTTTTAGAGGTGTTTTTCCTACACTTTTTATGTAACATGCTTTTGTTCTGAGAGAGTAGGTGTTTACAGCATGATTTGACTCCAAGTTAATGAGGTCAGAAGTTGAAAAGGCCATAAATCAACACTTTATTGTATCAGTTTCAGCTACTCATGGAAAATTATGCAAGAGTTTCTAGTGATTCTCCATTATTCTTTTCTGCCAGTCTAGCCCAGGCTCAAACTTCTAACAACAATGTAAGTTTGTAGTTGTTCAAAATCCTAGAAAAAGAAAACTAAGGTTTCATATGCTGCGCAAGACTCTTTAACGGTATAGCTTACAGTATTATAGTTGTTAAATATCAATACAAAACTATGTCCTCCACATTACAGTCTCAATCCTTTGCCCGATTAACTGTTTCAGATTTTATCACATTGTTTCTCACATATCTATGCTATACCAATCTGCTGAAAAACTGAAATTTCATGTTCAGAACACAAATTATTTGAAAGATGAAAGAGGTGAGTTAGCGCCAAATCTGAGATCATCGCAAAAGTAAAAATCTGTTCTCACTTTTCAATAAGGACAAAATAACCCAAAATGTATTTACTTTTGTGACTTATGCCTTCAAAGAGCAGCATTTAATCCTTCATGTGAATCATACTACTTCTTCCTGCCTTCCATCCTCCAACGTACGGACAGGGAAAAATCCAGGACTGGTGTACAGCAGTGGAATAGTAGACGTAGGGAAATATTACACATATTGGGAAAAAGGAAAAACCACTGAGCAGAAAGTGCTGAGCTTGCTATACCACAGCTTGGATGTGATGATCAGGGGCTACTGCCTTCAGTTATATAGGGCTGGCTTTAGGGAGAACACAGGCACAGCATGTAGTATGCTGGGGAAGAAATGAAAGTATGGTGCAGAGAAATATGGTCAACATTTTCCTATTTGGCCGACATGGAATATCTCAAAGTCCTAGTTATCCAACACTAAAGAGATATGTCTCTACACTGATGTGGCCTAGACACACCAGACCAAGTTCTACTTTTTTTGCAGATCAAGGTCAGATTAGATTTAAGAGTCTACCTATTCATAAAAAAAATGTGTAGTAATCCCATTCTTTTCATATACCTAGAAGCCATGTACTTTCCAATTCTTGCTGCCTTCAGTTACAAACACAAATTGGTAGGGCACTACAAGAGATATTCCCACAATCCTGTAGGCAGGTTCTCTGTGCTGCAGCAATTTGAATCACTCACTTCTTTATGATCAAGTTTAGGAGGACTCCAATATCAATTGGTACTGAGATACAACAAATACTGACACAGTTCAGTATGCAGCTTTCCTAGAAACTGGTCATCCCCATATGGTGTACAGCAAGTGACTCAAGACAGGCAAACTAGACTGTATTTAAAGTACAACTAAATGCATCTCAGAGGTATGTATCAGCTGGTGAGAAGCTAAGGATAACACAAGTATAAACTCACTTGGCAGTGAAGGGATACTTGCGAATCATCAGTTTTGGAAACCAAATTGCCATAGGACATCATATTCCTTAACTGAGACTACTTACTGACCCCACCCTTCCCAGAAAGATGTGCCTTGCATTTGCTTTGTTTTCATATAGCAGTTTCCTAACACGAAGAAACCTTGCATTTAGCTACCAGAGAGAAGAATTCATGATCTGCTGAGAGCACTTAAACTGTTTATTTTTGTTGGCATACTGAATATTCTTTTCACAGGAAGTTTCATTTTTTAGAATTCAATTTCCCCTTTTAGGCAGAGGTATGGTGCTTGTCTGACACAAATTCTTTCAATCATTTCTCCATTAGTTATTTTCATTACTGAAGTTACTTATTGAGGGCTATAATCCCCCAACAGTACTTAGGGACAACCAATCTGCACTCTCCATTTCAGTTTATAAGTGTTTTACATTTATGTTATACTGAACATAAACTGTGTTTACATGTATTCTTAGAAGTATCAACAGAAGCTTTTTTCACATATCTGATCAAATAATGGTAAATACTTTTCAGTTGCGTGCATTTACTTACCCACAGTAGAACAGCACGACACAAACATAAGCTAAGACTCCTTGTACTTTTATTGAGCTTGTTACGACTCTGATGAGCTGTTTTAAGAATAAAAGTTAACTGTTAAAACACATAGCACACAATTACTAACAGAATATTTAACAGATGTTTCTTATTTGGTAAACTGAAGACGAAAGTAGAATCATTTACATTGACAGAAATGTATTCTAATGTTCCCCTTGGTAGCGCTAACTATTCAAGATTTTGGTTTGAGTAAGTATTTTGAATTTAAGTAGCTTGAATAAGCACCTAGTTGTAACTTTGCCAAAACTACAGTCTGATAATGTTTCCTTCACCACTGACTTCCAAGTAAAATAACAAGTGAAAAAAACCTCCCCAAAAGTCAAGGAGTGGAAGCTGAGTTAATTTTTGAGGAAAATGTCAAGAGACACCAATGCTGTAAAACAGAATCAGTGTTTTGCACTATGCTAACATTCTGAATACAAAACTCCTTTGTGGAGAAGGCATATGAATCCCAAGTTCCGGTAAAAAATGATTGTGAAATCTCAGTTTTACTTCAGTATTTCACAGTTAGGGTTCCAAGTTAGCAAAGCACTTCGGTGTTTTAAACCTATTAGTATCCAGGATGTCGTATCAGAACACCATTAACTTGAAAAAAGCATTTCAACTGAATCTCACTGACGTACTTTACTTAGTTATAAAAGAAATTATGATCATGATCATAGTTGGTTCAGTTTGGATTTATTTTTTTTTTCTCTTAAATCCTGGATGAAAACAAGGCAAAGCCTGTCAATAGTATTTTTCCCCATCTCTGTGGTGTGGGAGAACATTACATTTAAAAGTTAATTCGTGTTGACATTCTTCCAAGAAAATGATGAATTAGCATCTTTGCTGGCAAAGCAAGGACAAATTCCCAGTATTACGATTATTGCTTATCTATGTGTGTGTATGGGGAAAGTCAGAGCAGCTATTTACAGAAAACATTCTGCAATAGTTAATTCAGACCAGACAGCATGTGGACACAATTCCAGTAATTAAGTGATTTGCTTTATAGCAGCATGTCCATGTAACAAGGTCAACTACTTCAGAATCATGTATTCAAAAATGGCTCAGAAGCTCGGTACCCCATAAAAAAGAAAACTAGTCAGTAAGCATACCATTAGTGGGGACAACCACATGGACTCCTATGAAAAACCTAAAAAAACTAGTACACTACTGCTAACCTTCTGGCAACCAGCTGCTTCGACTATTCCAAATGAATGAACAGGATAATTGCCAAAAGGAATAAATGTTTAATAAGCACAGATGTAGTTTAATTCCACTGCTACAATTAAAGTGCTTATAAATTCTGTAGAATTAATATATATTCCATTTTCTGTGAAAGGCTGATAAACAGTAACACATTTGTGAAGTCACAATTAGTATGCAATATAGTTTATACTGAATGCTAACTCAGCCTTGCAGCATCATTTCAGTTACTTAAGGTGATCATTTCACCCTCAAAACACCAAAATGAGCTAGCTATCTCACAGGCATATATTCTCAAAGTGAGATCTTATTGACAGAGAACAGATAGGAAAGATACAACTTACTAAAACAGCCAGTGGAAGAGGAATGAAACCCATTCTTCTGGAAACCGAATCACTATAATCTGTATACGCCTAGGAAAAAAAAAAAGGAAGAATAATGAACTATTTATGCAAAGGAATGAGCTTATTTTAGCTTGGCACACCCTCTAGATAGGAATCAATCTCTGCTAACAGACACTACACTGGTATAAAGTGAACCTATTCACATTTTGAAATTCAAATGCAGATAGCTGCACTCTCAGACAAAAACTTAATACTACCATGACCAGTAAGATTAGCTTCAGTGCTCTAAATCAAGAGCAACTGGAGTATAAGACAAATCTCTAAATCGAGAGCAATTAGGACACTGAATCCAAACACGCTATGATATTTCATCTGTACATTATCACTAGCTTAGAGACTTTTTTGTATTAATTTGACTTTGATCCTCAAATACTGTACAGAAAAACCCATAACAGGGATAAAAGAACAATTATCCATCACACTAGCAATTTTAAATCATTTTACAAACATTTATAATTAGCCTCAGGATAATTGTGTTAAAACAATTTTGAAAATATGTTTGCATCTGAACTCTCAAAACACAACCACTTTGCATGACAGCCTTCATGCAGTATTGAACGTCATGCCAAAGTTAGTGCCTATATTATGCTACCTCATTTTCCACTGAGATCCTTAGGAAAAGTAATGGAGTTTTCAGAATTAATAAACCAGTTGTTTAATTAACAAATTATTAATTATTTGTAATTGAAGGTGTCTAACTTTTTTATAACTACTGCATTCCTAGCGATAGCTATTAAATATGCCCAAAAAACCTATGTAAATTATTATAATAAAGTTCATTTAACAGTTAGAGCACTCATCCAGAGCACTCACTAGTAGTTAAAACACTCATCCAGGAAAGGTGTACTAACAAAAACCACAAGCAGTCTGTGTGTTCTGTAAATATCCGTGCCACAACAGTAACGTGCATGGTACAAACATCCATATACACTTGTGCACACTGTCTGCAGAGAAATAATAAAAATTCCTAATGAATACTGTATTTTGATCCAACACAGTTAAAATAAAGCTAAAAAATAGTAATTTAAAATTATCTCAAGAACATTTTGTTAAGCTTACTTAGTTACCATATATCTCAAAAATGTCAAAGTTGTTACAACCATCCCCTGACTATAAGGGTATTTGGAAGAGACTTCTCAACAGCATATTACATAAAGCCCGAACTGACCTGAACAATCAGATAAAATAAGAATATAAATCTGAAGGAAACATTCCTGTTATCTCTCATTAAAAAAAGCAGAGTAGAACTTTAGAGCTGTAACAGTTCTCTATGTATTTCTTTACGCATTTGTTCCAATATCCCCTCCGATATCCCCTACGTTAGTTAATAGAAGAAAATGCCTTTATTTTCAGGCTTACATTCTTCTGTCGACTGCTAACAAGGTCAAACGCAAGACTGGCTCTGTATTCACTGTAGACCTGGAAAAATGCAGGACATTGGATGTGTGGTTAATTTGTTATCACACTTTAAAGAAGCAACAGAGATATTAAAAAAATATTTCTGTAAAAAAATTATAAACACTTATTTACAGGCTGAAGGAGTCAAAGACAGTTTTTCTGGGGTCTAATTGCACCCTTCAACAGATGAGCCTGTATTTCTGCGATAAAGTAATGCGTATATACACAAACAAACAACACTATGCTATGTTTTAGGAATTGAATGAGACTTTACAAAAGCATTTACTGAATTTGAGGATTGTCAGAAGCAAAATGTAAGAGAAATCATGTTCATCATTTGTTTTAAGCTACATGAAAGATAGCACTGGGATGAAATTAAACAAAAGAGAGAGCTTACTTATATACTAAGCAAGTGATTCCATGAAAAAAACCAAGTTGTATCAGAAGATGAATGAAGCTTTTCTTTCTCTTTAAAGCAGTTCTGCCTATTAAGACAGAAAAGCACCTATTTGAAGGATAAGTGGCAGGGCCACTCACACTGCAGGAGTTCAAAACTTCTGAAAAAGTCCAAACTAGCCATACAAAAAATACAAAAGTTTGTTAAACAAACCTTGCAAAATTGTCACTCACTACCCCCATCCTCCAGCTGTTTCAGCACACTGAAGCATGCTACATTTTTTGCTATCATGACTTCATTATTGCTCTTTTCCACACTCTCTATATGAAAGTAGGGCATGCATAAATGCCTCCGGCATAAGGGAGCTTATTAAGTACATCTATTAAATTTGTTTCCACACCACACAATGTAGTTACTTTAGAGATGCTGAAAAAGATAGCACTTGCAAGTTCTGATCTCATTTCCTTAAAAGTGGTTTTAATAGTGAAAAAACGCTCTCTCATCTCTTCACAAGTTTATCAAGTGCATTTGAATTTGCGCAACATGCACACGCAAGACAAATGGCCAATGTATCATGCCACAACACGCAAAAAGTAACCTAATCTACTACCTTGTAAGAAGGGCTGCATAATAAATATGGCCTAAGAAATTTCAGGAGTGGGAAACTAACATAACCTACTTCATATTAGTGCTCCAGGGACAGTGGAAAAATATCTCTCTGATTTCAGATTCCACCTTCAACACACATGTAAGAACGGAGATTCAGCAGCCTCACGGTATCTGTTTTTCCTAAAGCCTGAATTTTAAACCTACGATCCATTCTGTTAGGAAAAGATACAAGCTCTGTCTAGACTGTAGAACAAGCAACCTTAATCAATTTAACTCGTGATCGCTTCACAAAACTATCTGCCAGTTATGTGAATTGCAGTTATTATGTGAACTGTTATACAACACTTTCAGTAATTTATGGATCTGGAACTACTAATTTAGAAGCAGAGGTGTTTGTTCCAGACTATAAAGATACTTGGAAGTATATTGTATCAGGAAATAATCAAACTTTCCCAAATGATATCCTATATATGAAAATAACAGTTTTTTCATCTTCTGCACTGGAGTAAATTTTAATATTTAAAAAAGTATTAGCAAAATAATCTACAACTTAAAATATCACTCAGCATTCCAAACAGGATACCTACATCCGCTGTGATGTCATTGAATTTTGTTATAAAGGCATGTTTCACAATATCCACTGCAATTTCTGAAGCAACCACCATGCAAACATCTGGGAATAACACCCAAAGATGATCTGAAGGTTGAGAAGAAACAAGTTAGGCCATTTAATTTGATGCCAGTATACAAAACAAAAGTTGCAACACTTGCTCAACAGTGAAAAGTCCTCAAGAGTCTGAAGGGTCTGTAACTTTACATCACCACTCAGCATGTGGTGTGCAAGTGCTCGCTTATTCCATTGCTGTTCTAGAAACTGAGCAATACTGTACAATCACACCACAATTAGGATCAGGTTCTAAAGCCTTTACTTTCTAAAGCTTTCTCTCTTCTAGGAAGACAACCTTTGCACATACTAGATAGTAGATGTTCAGTATGCATGAGGAATGGACAGACCACCTGCAGTTTTAGATGCTTAAGGTAAAATTTAGGTAGACTTGTAACATTCAAGCAAAATACACCACACAGATCGAGCCTCAGAATTATTAAACTAAAGTTTTAATAAAATAAAATCCAAATTTTACTCAATATTTGTTTATATTAAAATCCTAAGTATAATGAACTTATAATCAATAATTGTGAACAGAAATTTTTACATAATCTTCTCCCAAATTTCAATCTCATTAGCCTCACAAACTAAAATTCTCTAGGGCACCCTTCATCCTCAACATACTCTGAGGAAAGGGAAGGGCTGAGAAGAAATCATTCCAAACACTACTTGAAACATAACTATGCATGTTTATAGCATGACAGAATATACTCCTAGCAGAAAGGATAGAGAAAGCCAGAAATAGAAAAATGAGAATCTAAGGTATTTGACAAATTAAGATTCCTCAATTAAATGTCCTGGTTACCCTTATCTTTCAAATTGAGGAAAGAAGCAAGAGATACAGTTGTTGATAGCACAGGCATTTGTCATTTTGTATTTAATTTTTTTACTAGTTTACCCACCTGGATTCCATGAGAACTGTTCCATATTTCTTAGACATACAATTAGTAGCAGCACGTAATTGGTGAACCTCTCCTTTATATCTAGTTAAAAAAAAAAAAAAAAAGCTGTGAACCCCAAAGAAACATTTATTTGCATACACAGGTATCTACTCATTCTGAGGTCCTATCTTTTATTAATCTTGGATTAGACAATCTTTTCCACAAATTATTTGATCAGGTTTGAGGGGATGCTGGGAACCTCACCATGGATATGATCTCTTCAGTGTGCTGTGACCTGACTGGAGGTCCATCCGATGCTGCATCGACTCTGGGTTCCCAGCATCAGAAGGGACTTATGTTGTGACTTGCTAACTTTCTAATACATTAATAAAGTAGTCACCTTTCTTGATAAAGTTTGTGCACTTCTTGTGAGATTTAAAAAGAACCAGCACCTCCTGGTGCAAAAATGGAGAAAATGCATCTGCCTGTCTTTTCAAGTTATTAGCAAGGCAAGTTTCATTTTCTACAGAACACAGATATCCAAATTACTATACACTGGGTCCAGTAGTGGGGGGAGGGGGGGGGAAGTGTTTTAAGACAACTATTACACCTTAGTTAGAAGGTTCCTACTAATCTTTCACATTGCCACCTTAAAAGGGAACAGCAGGATACATCAGCTTAGTTATCAAAACCTTAAGAACTATAACACAAAAGCGGTCTGATTTGAGATGGAGTCCTATGACTTGTCCTCCCAGACTAGGCAGGGCCTTTTTTTCCTACTTTGGTGCCCTACTTCCAGAAACAACCCATACAGTTTGCTTCAGGAAGCATCACATTTTTTAACATATTAAAAAACCTCCCTGAAATTGTAGTATTGAAAAATGGTTTACAAAACCTAAAACGTAGCGTCACCACAAATTAGCAAGTCCAAAGAAGTCTTTTTAGAAGACAGGTCTATTATGAAAATCTGTTAAGATATTGCTTCCATCATCTCTAACTGACTACACATCAATGACAATGTTCATGGGTTTCGTTACTATAGTCTAGCATAACAATATCCCTTGTTTTAAAAATGAAGTTTCAAAATACTGGCAAGCCAAGGAAGGGAGCAAAAAGAAAAGAACAACTCCTCCACGAGAGGGGAATGAAAAGCAGACAGAATTCAAGAAGAATGTGTGCATACAGCCTCATGTAAAAAGTCACATTTTGGGGTACATAAACTCATCTCTCCGTATGGTCTGGACAAAGGTCAGAGGAAGCACGAGTTTCCAAAACAGAACAAGTGGCATATGTATGGGGGAAGAAACAAGGAAATCCTTCAGTAAAATAAATTCAAATACCAGAAAAAACAGAACATACATGAAGTCCTAACCCCAACTCCTTCATTTCGTGATGGCAACACTCCAACAAGTCAAATATATTCTTCTATGCTTCGGAATTTACCAAATACTGCCCAAATTACCACAACACAGTATTTTCTGATGAATCTAGTTATGAGATACCACTTCGCGTGGTCACCAATGGATTAATAGGTGGTCTAGCATTCCTTGATCTATATTCTCTATCATACGCATTAGCAACTTGAAAGTAATCACTGGGTTCTCAGACTTCTGCCCAGAATATCAAAAAGGTTTAATGTTTTATTTCCCACATTGCATACTTCCTCACTGTTGTGACACATCATTGGTCAACAATGCATAAGGCCACAAAGAGATCCCATCTTCAGTGCTTCAGATCCCAGGAAGGCCTGCACAGATAGAAACTCTCAAGTGGGAACTAAGTACCTTAATTCAGGCCTAAACATTAAAGCATGTTTCAAGCCAGTCCTTCAGACATTTATTACCTGCTCAGTACGTCAGCTTGCCAGTCGACAGGATTAAATTGAGAAGTGACATCTTTGGCCTTAAGTTTCCTCTTGTGCTGTAATAATAAACATTCCCCTTCCCCCC